TCGAAGATACCGGCAGCTTTAAGTAATAGCTGAACAGAAAAGTTCAGTTTCTCGTCCTTGACTTTACGTTGAGTATCCGTAATCGCACGCTCTCTCTCGTACAAGCCCAAGGAATTAACGGAAGACGCGGCCAGATTCGACAATGCAGATGCATAAGTGAGGAGCGAGAATGCTAAGTCGGCTTGGAGCCCAACAACGGACTGTCTTGGCGAGTTGTTCAGGAGATTGGCCGAGAAAGTGCTACGCCAGCTGAACGCTATACAGTTTCCATAGTTAGATCTAGCAATGAATAACGAAATTCAAGTGACTCGCTTGGTATTTGTCGCAATTTAATGTATCCCGACTCTATTCCGTCAATAATCGCGTATAAATGTGGTAGGTAGTCATCCAGCGTCTAATAGAAACGTGAGTCAAGACAAATCTGAGGACCATCCAGCGGAAAATACCTCACTTTGACGACTCTTAAGTGATCCTTTTCTCCTTCGTCAGTTCGCTTGCATTCCTTCAAAACATTTCTCAAGCTCGAGCGAGTTACTGTGGCGTTCGTGATGGTATGACTATATTTGCCTATCTGATCGACAATGAAGTCTCCAAAGACTATACTTCCTGTAGTCGGTAGCTCGTAGACGTAGCTAGACATGGTGGTATTCGGCGGCAAGTTGGAACTGAATAGAGCACCTCGTCATGCACATCTATGGGTAGCGGTCTGAGTCGAAACCGAAATTATATCAACTATCCGTTCAGGAGGATATACGGGAAGCCATCGTGAACCCCCAAGTGATTACAAGGAATCAACATGGATGAGAAGGTCGAAGTGGTATAATTGAGCCACACTTTGACTAGACCACGTCGGGCCAATGAACCAAAGTGAAAAACAACCACGTAGGCCTCTAGTTTCACGAAACATTACCTCTGAAACTAGAATGTCTGACTCCGTTTCAGTAGCCGCACCGTTCAAACCACCTAGGGCGCCTCAAAGTAACCCTGCGGTCCCATTCCCAAACGAGTCGTCAATATGGGAGGTGTATGTAAATGAATCAATAGTCGTCGATAATGAACTAGTGAAAGATTGGACTTCCAGTCTCAATTTCCTTCTCGTTTTTGTGAGTTCATAACCGGTTGATAGTCACATCCGTTATTGACCAATTTCAGGCCGCCATCTTCTCCTCTGTATTGTCGGCATTTATCATCGAGAGCAAGAAGTTGCTAGAGCAAGATTCAGCAGAAGTGATGGTCGATGTCCTCATATTCCTCGTCAACAATAACACCAATGGCACTCATGTGCACTATTCCCGCCCTCCATTTTCTCCTGCACCTTACGCCGTATCGGTCAATTGTCTCTTCTTCG